AAGCAAGGAATTCACATTCACACAGTGGTAACTACATGCCCCAGTGACAACTACATGTCACAAGTATCATAGTTCCAACCTTATGGCTACCCTCGGCCTTATTTCAGTTCCAACCATTACCTCCAAGTAACCCCTGTACTTCTGAGTCCAACCTTTTGTCTCCAGGGACCGTCGTCCCCCCACCTACAACCACCCACATTACCGCCGAACTCTCAGTACACGAGGGTACCATTAATTTCACAATCACAAAACCGCCAAACTCGTGAGCAAAGCTCAAATAATAACCACCAATCTCATTCATAATCACACACAAGGTCATTATCATTACCAAGAAGTCTAAGACCCAACAATAGTCTTAATCAAGTATCAACAAAGGTACAACGATTTACATACGACCATATCATAGGAATCAATCAAGAGATCACAATAAAGACATGATCCCATACTCAATCAACAAAGGATTCCAATCCAACACCTAATGATTCTCAACACAAATTGGCAATCTCAATACGAAGGAGCAAACCACACATACTAGCATATCAACATCAAACTAGCATGCTTATCAAACGGGTAAACCAAAAGGTGTTCCAAAGAACGTTCAAGACTCACATTAGCCCAACGAATCACAAAGTTGGACCCTTAGTACGATTCAAGACACCAAATCCTACATGGATTCCTAACATACCGTTCTAGACATACGAAACATCAAGAAGACTCACAAATAGCCCAATACAACAACATCGGGAGGTCAAAACATCAATACCGAGGAGAAAGAATCACGGGGAACAAATCCATGCCAACAACCAACAACGTTCCCCGCGGGTGGGGCCACGAGTGGACCTCCACCCGTGGGTACACAACCCACGAACCACCGGTTCCCCGCGGGTGGGGCAGCGGGTAGGGCCCTACCCACCCTTCCGCCCGCGGGTACGTCCTTGTACTCCAAAATATCCCTTCGGGGATTTTCAACAAAAATGCCAAGTTCAAGTCCAAAACACCCAAAATCTCAGACACAACAACAATATGAATAGAACCCAATAAATAGCCAAGCAATGGCATTCAAGAACCCTAAGAACAAGCTCTAAACATGCATCACCACAAGACAATGCATCAAATCTCACAAATCAACACAAGAATCACAAGTAGAAGCCAAGAAATCATCATATAAGTAAGAAAATAGGTTTTATAAAGCATGTGTTACCTTTGAAGCCTAATAACTTCCTCTTTTCACCCTTAAAAGCCTTTCTTGGAGCTCCTCATCCACACCAACTTCATACACAAAAGAAAACACAACAAAGATCCTATTTTTAGAAAAAGACACCTAAAAGAAGGTTAAAAACACCAAAAGACCAAGGATCTTACCCTCCCCTATGCTCAAGATGAAGAGAGTAGGAATCTTGGGAGACAATCTTGCAAGACTTGGATGCTCAAATTCTAGCTTGGAGAATAAGCTAAACCATTTTAGAGAGAGGCTAGAGGTTTTTGTGTTTTAGGTTGAAGGGTGAATGAAATTAAAGAATATTGCTTGGTTAGCTTGAATCAAACCTTAGATAGAAAGACATTTCTACCCTTACTAATGTTGGAAAGACAAGGGAACAAGGGCACAACTCAAGAAGCACAAGGTACAACCCTTTGACTTAAGTGACTAGTCAAAATCTAGTCCCTCGACTATTAAATTTCATGATTTTTAGCAATAGATTAGCAAAGACTCTTGGATTAATTATTTAATTAATCCTTGATCAGTGTTTAGATTTACGAGGTGTCACATCCTCTCCCCCTAACAAGAAGTTTCGTCCCCGAAGCTTGGGCACGACGAGTTCGAACGAACAAGTGGCAACGAATCAACAATGTGACAAAAAGAAGCAACAATACCATTAAGCAAGACTTCAAGGATCCAAAAGGTGTAAGATTTTCAAGAATCAAGACAATGCAAGGTTTCAAAAATCACAAAAGGAGTTTCTCAAGCAACACAAACACTAACACCACCTTACAGACAGCTAGGAGCCTTCTACACCACACCTAAACTCAAAACAACTAGATTCTAACGAAGCCAAATAACTAAACCAACTACCCAAACAACAAGCTAACAACCAAGGCAAACGAGAGAGAACAACTAAGCACAACCAACAAACAACAACTACCACACGGCAGCAACAAACGAGCGAAGATACGAGCTTACCTCAAACTCTGGGCCTAAGAGGACTCATCCTCCGACTCCTTGGCATCCTCGTCTGAGTCTTCCTCAGCTCCACCACGGCTAGAACCAGCCTCCAACCCGTCTAACCTCTGATTGACGGTGACAAATTGAGCCTTCATGAAAGAGAAGCCTTCCTCAATCATTCGATTCTACTGTCGAAGAAGGGTCACCACACGTTCCTCATGTGTCATTGCATCATGCTCTCTCTTGGTCCTTACTTCCTTCCTCCTTACGTTCTCTTCGCTTTCGGAGTCACTCTCCTCGGCCTCCTCTACTTCTTCTCCTTCTTCTTCCTCTTCTCTCTCCTTTTCGCCTTCGTTCTCAGCATCTCCACCCAAGCTCTGAACCGCAAGGTTCAACTTTCCAACAGGAATCTCAAGCTCTTCAACTAACGAACTCCTCTCGGCAGTGGCTTTTCTTGCGACCTCCTCAAGAGTGATGCAGTCACCATCATCCAGCTGAAACAGGTTGCAACTGCGGAGATTTGTGGCATCCAGAACCATCTTGCCCACCGGCTTGGGCACATAGCCTTCAACACTCACCCCCATCTTAACAAAGATCCAACTTAAAACCATGCCAAAAGGCAAACTCTTCTCGGGCATCTACTCAAAACCTGTAGAACAACGAAAACATAACATGGGGATAACACCCAGTCAGCGAACATTGCTGGTAACCTATCAATACGCGTTAAATAGCATATATAGATCAGGATAGGTCAAAACCATTTTCGAAACGAAATACAATATATATCATTTCAAAAGCCATAGAGAGAAGTCAACTTCAAGGACTCATTAACACTCTCAAAAGGAAAATGAATCACCACCCTTACGACAATAACAAGACAAGAACCGTGAAAGACAATACAACTCAAGATGCATTCCACTGATCACAAAGTAGAATACATGAAGACATGCTCATTAGCAAAGAATACACATTCACACAACGGCAACTACATGCCACAATGACAACTACATGTCACAAGTATCATAGTTCCAAGTTCCAACCTTATGGCTACCCTCGGCCTTATTTCAATTCCAACCATTACCTCCTAGTGCCACCCTATACTTCTGAGTCCAACCTTATACCGCTAGGGACCGTCGTCCCCCTCTAACAATCTCCAACATACCACCTACATTTCAGTACACGAGGGTTGTATTCATTTCATTCACACAACCACCTACATGTGAGCCAAGCTCAAGTAACAATCACCCACATTCAATCATCGTCACACAAGTCATCATCATTGCCAAGAAGGCTAAGGTTCTACAATAACCTTAATCAAGTATCAATCAAAGGGTACAACGATTACATACGTTCACATCGTAGGAATCAATCAATGGATCACAACAAAGAAATGAAATCATACTCAACAACGAAGGATCACAATCCGACACCAAACGATGGTCAACACAAGTTTCCAATCCCAATAAGAAAGAACAAACCGCACATACTAGAATTTCAACATCAAACTAGCATGATTATAAAACGGGTAAACCAAAAGTAGTTCCATAAAACATACAAGACTCACAATAGTCCAACGAATCACAAAGTCGGACCCTTAGCACGATTGAAGACACCAAATCCTACATGGATCCCTAACATATCGTTCTAGACATACGAAACATCAAGAAGACTCACAAATAGCCCAATAAAACAACATCGAGAGGTCAAAACATCAATGCCGAGTCAAAAGAATCACGGGGAACAAATCCCCGCCCAACATCAACCACGTTCCCCGCGGGGGGACCACGGGTGGACAACCACCCGCGGTTCCGCCCGGGGGTACACCAACCCACGAAGCTTGTTCCCCGCGGGTGGGGCGGCGGGTAGGCTTCTGCCAGCCGTTCCGCCCGCAGGTACCACCCTGTACACCAAAATAATCCCTTCGGGAATTTTCAACAACAAGTCCAAATTCAAGTCCAAAACACCCAAAATCTCACACAAAACACAATATGACTTGAACCCAAGAAATAGCCAAGCAATGACATTCAAGAACCCTAAGAACAAGCTCTAAACATGCATCACCACAAGACAATGCATCAAATCTCATAAATCAACACAAGAATCACAAGTAGAAGCCAAGAATCATCATATAAGTAAGAAAATAGGTTTTGTAAAGCATGGGTTACCTTTATAGCCTAATAACTTCTTCTTTTCACCCCTAGAAAGCCTTTCCTAAAGCTCCTCTTCCACACCAACTTCATACACAAATCAAAAGATAACAACGATTATATCTTTAGAAAAAGACACCTAAAAGGGAGTTAAAAACATCAAAAGACCAAGGATCTTACCCTCCCCTATGCTCAAGATGAAGAAAGTAGGAATCTTGGAAGCCAACTTGCAAGATTTGAGTTGCTCAAATCCTAGCTTGGAGAAGAAGCTACACCTTTTTAGAGAGAAGCTAGAGATTTTTGTGTTTAGATTGTAGGGTGAATGAAATGAAGAAGTGTTGCTAGGTTAGCTTGAACCACAAACCTTAGGTAGAAAGACATCCCTACCCTTACTGAAGTTGGAAAGACAAGGGAACAAGGGCACAACTCAAGAAGCACAAGGTACAAGCCTTTGACTTTAGGTGACTAGTCAAAATCTAGTCCCTCGACTATTGAATTTCAAGATTTTTAGGAATAAATTAACAAAGAGACTATGATTAATTCTCTAATTAATCCTTGATTAGAGTTTGGATTTACGGGGTGTCACATCCTCTCCCCCTAACAAGAAGCTTCGTCCCCGAAGCTTGGGCACGACGAGTTCCAACAAGCGGGTAACAACGAATCAACCATGTGACAAGGAAAACAAGAATACCATTTAACAAAACTTCAAGGTTCCAAAAGGTGTAAAGTTTGCAAAAGTCAAGAATTTGCAAGGTTTCAAAAGGTCACAAAAGAAATTCCTTGAGCAACACAAACGCTAAGGTCAAGACAACGACAACTAGAAGCCTTCTAAACCACGCCTAAACTCAAACAACTAAATTCTATCTAGGCAAAGTGCTAAACTAACTATCCAAGCAGCAAACTAACAAACAAGATAAACAAGAAAGAGCAACAAACACAGCCAGCAAGCAACAACTACTAAACGGTAACAGCAAACGAGAAAAGAAACGAACTTACCCCAACTCTGGTCTAAAAGGACTCACTCTCCGACTCTTCGGCATCCTCGTCCGAAACTTCCTCAGCTCCACCACGGCTAGAGCCGGCCTCCAACTGGTCCAACCTCTGGTTGACAGTGACGAACTAAGTCTTCATGAAAGTGAAACCTTCCTCAATCATCCGGTTCTACTGACGAAGAAGGGACCACACACTCCTTGTGTGTCAAAGCATCATGCTCCTTTTTATTTCCCGCTTCCTTTCTCCTTAAGTTTTCTTCACTTTCGGAGTTGCTCCCCGCGACCTCTTCGGCTTCTTCTCCACCTTCTTCCTCTTCCCGTTCCTCTTCACCTTCATTCCCATCATCTCCTCCCAAACTTTGAACCGCGAGGTTCAACTTTCCAATAGGAATCTCAAGCTCTGCAACCAACGAACTCCTCTCGGCAGGGTCTTTTCTGGCGACCTCTTCTAGAGTGATATAATCACCATCATCCAGCTGAAACAGGTTGTAACTGCGGAGGTTTGTGACATCCAGAACCATCTTGCCCACCTGCTTAGGCACACAACCATCAACACTCACTCCCTTCTTAGCAAAGGTCCAACATAAAACCATGCCATAAGGAAAACTCTTACGGTTATGGTCTCGACAATAGACCATGTGTTGCAACATCAACGAAGGCAAGTTGGACTTCACCTTATTCTTCAGACAAAAAGCAAACGTGCACTCTAGCTTACCCAATAAATGGCTCTTATTGTTATTGTAACACCCCGCGTTACGGCCTCTAACCCGGACTAATTGTTTAATTGATTAGAATTAATGATAATTAGAAAGGATTTGATTGAGTTAGGATCCCCTCAATTAATTGAGGTGGCCCACTATGGATCATGGACCCTTATCCTTAAACCAAATCCTTAGCCCTATAAGGAATAGGATAAGTGAATCCTTACCATTCAGACCCTAGTTAGGAATCCTAAATATATATAAGGACTTATGAAGCATTTAGAAATCCCACCACAATTGATTCTACCACACAAGATATTCCCAGGAATTCCCCTGTCTCCAAACGTAGGAGAACCGACGGGAAGAAGATCTTAGAGAAAGAACCTTAGTAGCCAAGGATATTGATTAAGGCTAAGAGGTAACCCATTTCTAGACAAAACCTATTTTCCTCCATATATCTTATTCATTAGCTCCTTCGATATATGATTCCATGCTTGAGTCTTGATAGAGCTTTGCCTAGGGTTTATATTATGTTTATGTGTTAATCTTGATGCTTATGTGTTAATCTTGATGCTTATGTGATAATCTTGATGTTCTTGATAATATGATAAGTTATATGAATGATCTTGTATTTTAATTATGTCAAGAGCCCTAGGTATCCCGTTTGTCGTGTGTGAGTCTAGTTTGACGTATTGGGTACCGTTCTTAGGATAAAAGAGTCTTGTGCATTGCATGCTAGTTGAATTGGTATCCCGTTGGCCTAGGAGGAAGGTGTATTAACCCGTAGGAGTGTCATGAGTGTCTTAATATAGTTTGTTACGTATGAGTTATGTAGGGTTAAGTGTTCCCTGATGATTTCCCCTCGTTATGTGTTATTATGGGTTGCATGTTGTTTGGCTTCTATGTTGTTGTGCATGATAACTCAATTGGTTGCGATCAATATGCTATAATGACTATCTGGTTGGTTGAGAACAACCAGGTATTAACTCGATTGGTTGCAATCGGTTGGCTATACAGGCAGTTGGATTAGTTGAGAACTATCGGCTGTTATATATATATATATATATATATATATATATATATATATATATATATATATGTAGGGCTGCGATCCATTATCTGGTTGCGATCAGACATACATGACAATAGGGCTGCGGTCCATAGTTTGGTTGCGAACAAACGTTTATGATACAAATGAGCTACGGTTTATTGATTGGTTGCGATCAATCTCCTTGTGCTGCGGTACAAGTTAAAGTTCTGCGGGGCCATGTCAGAGCTATATGCGCTGACCCACATGTATGGGCATGTAAATGGTCCTGCGGAACCACCATATGTGTGTACACCAATACGTGTCTTATTGTTGATTGTTTGACTGTAATGATGACTGACTATTGATATGATTGGTATTGTGTAGCCTTGTGACCTTAGGATGCATGCTAGAATCTTTATGTTTATGTTTAATTATATTGAGTGCATCTGTCATTGTTTGATTGAGTCTGTCCTCGGATTTAAATGAGAGTTTCGTAAGTATATATGTATTCCAGTTTCAAAATGAGTTTCTTATATCTACCTTTATTGTACTTAACACGTTGGAGTGGGTTACCAGCATTATTCGCTGACGGTTGTTATACCGAATGTTTTTTAGGTAATGAGCCTTAGCTTCAGAGCACGCTAGTCAGAGCCTGGGCTTAGTTAGATTAGTTCAATTATCGGCCTGCGTGCCTTGAAGTTGTATTGAATGTTGATTTGAGGATTTCTTATGTTTGGATAGTTTAGCCTGTGCACTTAGGTTCTCAAATCTAGGTGTGGCATAACACCCCGACTATTATGCTTAGTTCATGCTCTGTTTGGGAATTTATATTGGAATTACCTTTATTATATGTGTTTTAAAAGTTTTTAAAATTAGGGGTGTTACAGTTGGTATCAAAACCTATGTTCGACCATAGGGTAAGGTCTTTAAGACAAGACTTTAGGACATTAAGCTTGAAACTCTAGGTATTTACGTACAAAGGACTCAGGAAGCTTAGGACGCGTGGTAAGGCTGTGAGTTTATCTATCATTATCTGCCTAACTTCCCCTCACTCTATCATGTGCTTAATTTGAAAATCCCCTATACTTATAGCATCAAGGTAAGGGTGCAACCCACTAACTTACCATTACGATCAATATTGGCCCTGTAGACCACCAGAATGGCGCCAACAAGAAGTTAGTCAAAAACCCCTGAACCCTCAGCTCATGAATCTCTAGTCCAGAATCTACAGCAACTGACTCAGGTCGCCCAAACGCTAAGCAACGCTATCCTCCATAACAACAACCGACTACCACCACCGCCAAACGGGAACTCAGATGTTGCTCACCGAATCTCGAACCATCGCTCGCCTACCTTCTCAGGGGAAGAGGACCCCGCAATCATCGAAGAATAGATCTAAACCTTCGACAAAATCTTCGAGGTAGTAGAATGCCCGGAGGGACGCCGAGTAGAAATAACCTCATTCTACTTCGGACACGAAGCCGATCTTTGGTGGGTTCACGAAGGACCTACTTATAGGCAAGAACCAAGGTCCAACTGGGAATCCCTGAAAGTGCGACTACGGGGACGGTTCAACCCCGCACCCGTAAGGGCAGCCATGTACGAGGAATTCCTCCACCTAAAACAGGGGATGACCACGGTCATGGAATACCACAAACGATTCCTCGTGCTAGCTCGTTTCGCGCCCGAATTGGTGCCTACAGAAACGACCAAGATAGAGAAATTCGTGACAGGTCTCAACTTCGAAAGTAAAAAAGCCTTAATCATACACAAACCAAAAACACTCGAGGAAGCCTACGCTAAGGCAACCAAACTCCAACAAATACCATGCAACCCACGGGAAACACGCAAGGGACACAAAAGGAAAGTTGGGGGAAGTCACGCAACCCCTCTACGGAAATCAAAGGTTGCCAGGGCCACCCCGCCCCATGAAGCAATGACGCAAGTCCTCGAAGAGGAAACGGGAATCACCCAAGGAAGGGTCCTTGCCATGAGTAGAGCCCGAATCGGGGACAGCGACATAGTCACCGGGACCTTCCTCGTGCACGCCGTTCCTGCCGTCGTGCTATTTGATTCAGGAGCCACCAATTCATTCATAGCAACCGAATTCGCCACAAGGCTCGGTTTAATCACCAGCGCAGGGGTACAACTGCGAGTCAAGGTAGCATCGGGCGAAGTAACGAAGTGTGATCGCATGTGCGAAAACGTAATGATCACCATTGGAGGAATAGAATTCCCTAGCAATCTAATCCAGTTCAAATTGGACGGAATATAGGTAATCTTGGGTATGGACTGGCTAGGGAACTTCAGGGCATAGATCCTATGCGGCGAACAAAAAGTAGTTTTTAGAGGACCGAACGGCAAACGGGTGTCCTCCCACGGATCCCCCAAGAATTCAGAGATCAAACTAGTAAACATGATGAAAATGAAGAAGTACCTAGCAAAAGGGCACGAGGCCTTCCTGTGCTCGATCGAGGATCTGGATGCCAAAATAGACGAGCCATAGATAATCTCGGTAGTGGACGAGTTCGCGGACATTTTCCCAAGTGAAATCCATGGGATACCTCCGCCCAGGGAAGTGGAATTCACCGTAGACTTGGTGCCTGGCGCTGCCCCTATCTCAAAACCACCCTATAGGCTGGAACCAAAGGAAATGAAAGAACTGAAAACACAACTACAGGACTTATTAGATAAAGGGTACATACGCCCCAACACCTCGCCCTGGGGTGCACCGGTACTGTTTGTCAAGATGAAGGATGGAAGCATGCGATTATGCATCGACTACAGGGAGCTAAATCAGGTTACGGAAAAGAACAAGTATCCCCTTCCCCGGATAGACGACTTGTTCGACCAACTCAAGGGAGCAGGGGTGTTCTCGAAGATCGATTTAAGAGCCGGATACCACCAAATAAAAGTGGCTGACCCAGATATTCCTAAGACAGCCTTTCGAACCCGCTACGACCACTATGAGTTCACAGTGATGCCCTTCGGGTTAACCAATGCACCCGCAGTATTCATGGATCTAATGAAACGTGTATTTCGGCCGCACCTAGATGACTTCGTAATTATATTTATTGACGACATCCTGGTCTACTCACAAGACGAGGAAAAGCACGAGAAGCACCTCCGCACAACCTTGCAAACCTTGAGGGGAAATCAGCTATACGCCAAACTCTCCAAATTCGAATTCTGGAAGGACAACGTGGCATTCCTGGGCCACGTGATAACCAAGGAGGGGATCGGGGTGGATCCAACCAAGATCCGCGCAGTCAAGAAGTGCCCCACACCAAAAGCAATTTCGGAGGTCAGGAGCATCCTTGGTTTGGCCGGCTACTATCGGAGATTTGTACCCGATTTCACCAGAATAGCCCAACCCCTGACCAGACTCATGAAAAAGGAAATCCCCTTTCGGTGGGACGACAATTGTGCTTCGGCTTTTCAAGAACTGAAAGAAAGGCTGACCACAGCCCCAGTATTAGCTCTACCCTCAGGAGTAGAGGGATTCGAAGTTTCCAGCGACGCTTCTAGAAAGGGGCTGGGATGTGTACTAATGCAAAACGGCAAGGTGATAGCATACGCGGCCAGACAACTCAAAACCCACGAAGAAAAGTACCCCACGCACGACCTAGAGCTAGCCTCCATTGTATTCGCCCTAAAAATCTGGAGACATTATCTATATGGGGTACAATGCAAAATCTACACGGATCATAAAAGCCTGAAGTACATCTTCACTCAAAAGGATCTGAACATGCGGCAGCGACGATGGTTAGAACTCATAAAAGATTATGACTATGATATTCAGTACCACGAGGGAAAATCTAATGTTGTGGCAGACGCACTAAGTCGAAAAATGAGCCACTCCCTCAACACCACGTGGGTCCTGTCGGACGAACTATATAAAGAGTTTCAAGGGTTAAACTTAGAAATACTGGAGCAAGGACGAACAGATTCGGAGATCTAACTATTTAATCTTAGGATTATACCCACACTATTCGATAAAATCAAAGCCGGACAATAACAGGATCCTGAGTTAAATAAAATCCGACTTGACCTGACCCGGGGAAAGGACAGGCCATTCAAACTATTTGATGCTGGCAGCCTCCGCTATAAGGGAAGATGGTGCATACCTGCAACACCCCTCAACCTAAAATAACAAATCCTAGAGGAAGGGCACAATTCACCTTACCCCGTGCACCCCGGAGGCGATAAACTGTACCAAGAGGTGAAGAAGTTGTTTTGGTGGCCCAACATGAAAAAGGAAGTCGCAGACTTGTAAGAAAATGCCTGAACTGTCAAAGGGTAAAAGCCGAACGGTGCAAGCTCAAAGGACTCGTGCAACCCCTCGAAATACCCCAAGGGAAGTGGGATTCCATATCTATGGACTTCGTAGGAGGTCTACCCACGACACCAACAGGGTAAAACAAGATCTGGGTAATAGTGGACCGACTGACCAAAACAACACGGTTAATTGCCATGAAAGAAACCTGGACAATGACACAACTAGCCAAAGCCTACCTGGTCGGGTGGTGAAATACCAGGGAGTCCCCCGAAACATTGTTTCCGATAGGGACCCCAGATTCCTCTCACAATTCTGGAAATCCCTACAAATGGCCATGGGAACGAGACTAAGCTTGAGCACCGCCTTCTACCCCACTACCGACCGCCAGACCGAGAGGACAATTCAAAATCTCAAAGACATGCTAAGAGCCTGTATGTTAGACTTCCAGGGAACATGGGAAGAACACCTAGACCTCATCGAATTCTCTTACAACAACGACTATCACACAAGCATCCGCACGGATCCCTACGAGGCACTATATGGTCAAAAATGTAGGACACCCTTATGTTGGGAAGACATGGTCAACCCAGTAACCCTGGGGCCACAATACCTGCAGGACACCATAACAAAAGTCAAACGCATACAAGAAAGAATGAAGGCTGCACAGGACCGCCAGAAGTCCTACGCTGACCTGGGTAGGAAACAAGCCGAATTCTCCACAGGAGAGAAGGTTTGGCTAAAGATGAGGTTCTGAAAGAAAGGGAAGCTCAGTCCCAGATTCATTGGTCCTTACGAAATCTTAGAAAAAGTTAAGAACCTGGCTTACCGCCTCGCCTTACCAACCGAGTTGAACGAGTGCACAACGTGTTCCACGTGTCGCAACTAAAGAAATATGTGCACGATGCAAAACACGTATTGCAACCCGAAACAGTAAGCTTGGATGACACCCTGACCTACGAGGAGAAACCTGTTAAGATCCTGGACACTAAGACAAGGGCCACTCGCCAAAGAACCAAAGAAATGGTTAAAATCCTCTGGTCCAACCACGGGACCGAAGAGGCAACATGGGAACTTGAAAGCACCATGAGGGAACGCTATCCCGAGCTATTCACACAAGGTAACCTAGACTAACCCCTAGGATAAGGAAGGATGGTCGACCCCAGCGAATCTAAGCTTCGGGGACGAAGCTTTCTGTTAGGGGGGGGGGGGGGGGAGGGTGTAACACCCCGCGTTACGGCCTCTAACCCGGACTAATTATTTAATTGACTACCATTAATAATAATTAGAAAGGATTTGATTGAGTTAGAATCCCCTCAATTAATTGAGGTGGCCCACTATGGATCATGGACCCTTATCCTTAAACCAAATCCTTAGCCCTATAAGGAATATGATAAGTGAATCTTTACCATTCAGACCCTAGTTAGGACTCCTAAATATATATAAGGACTTAGGAAGCATTTAGAAATCCCACAACAATTGATTCTACCACACAAGATATTCCCAGGAATTCCCTTGTCACCAAACGTAGGAGAACCCACAGGAAGAAGATCTTAGAGAAAGAACCTTAGTAGCCAAGGATATTGATTAAGGCTAAGAGGTAACCCATGTCTCGATAAAACCTATTTTTCTCACTATATCTTATTCATTGGCTCCTTTGATATATGATTCCGTGCTTGAGTCTTGATAGAGCTTTGCCTAGGGTTTATATTATGTTTATTTGATAATCTTGATGTTTATGTGTTAATCTTGATGCTTATGTGATAATCTTGATGTTCTTGATACTATGATAAGTTATATGAATGATCTTGTATTTTGATTATGTCTAGAGCCCTAGGGTAATAACGTGGATTTCGTATTATGTTATTCTTGGTATGTTCGGGTGGGATTTTGCGTGATCAGGTGTTGAGTCTTGGCATGTTTATGGATCGTGTTAGGGTGTATTTGGTGTGATTCTTGGTTTAGTTCCGTTAATTGAATACGTGGTGTTGTCATTATGTGTTTAAATGTGTTTGGACATGGTTTCGTGTTCCACGAGGGATCCCGGGATTATAAAGTTGCCTGTGTATCAGTGAGGGGTAGGTGAGGGACTGACCACCCACCACCTACCTGCTGCCCGCCTCTACTGTTCCAGCGGGCAGCCAGCGGGCGGTGGACTGCCCGCCGGCCACCCGCTGGAATAGTACCCGCCGCCGGCGGGTGGTCCTCCACCCGCCACCTACCCACTGGAATCCCGGTGTGAATTGTGGTGTTTTTCCCCGTTTGATGTTTCCCCGTGTCCCGTTGTACCCCGTTTGTCGTGTGAGTCTAGTTTGATGTATCGGGTACCGTTCTTAGGATAAAAGAGTCTTGTGCATTGCATGCTAGTTGAATTGGTATCCCGTTGGCCTAGGAGGAAGGTGTATGACCCCGTAGGAGTGTCATTAGTGGGTTAATATCACTACAAGAAAAATGCACATAGACAACGGTTAATAACCGTTGTCGTAGGGGTATAATTTCTGTTGTTGAAGCCGGTGTTGTTGTAAGTCCCGCGCATAGACAACGGTTTTTTAACCGTTGTCTTTTCTAGAAACAACAACGGTTTTTTAACCGTTGTCTATTAAGTGTTGTTGAAGCCGGTGTTGTTGTAAGTCACACACATAGACAACGGTTAATAACCGTTGTCTTTTCTAGAAACGACAACGGTTTTTTAACCGTTGTCTATTAAGTGTTGTTGAAACCGGTGTTGTTAAAAGTCACGCACATAGACAACGGTTATTAACCGTTGTCTTTTCTACCAACGACAACTGTTTTTTAACCGTTGTCTATTAAATGTTGTTGAAACCGGTGTTGTTAAAAGTCACGCACATAGACAACGGTTATTAACCGTTGTCTTTTCTACCAACGACAACGGTTTTTTAACCGTTGTCTATTAAGTGTTGTTGAAATCGGTGTTGTTAAAAGTCACGCACATAGACAACGGTTAACCGTTGTCTTTTCTACCAACGACAACGGTTTTTGACCCGTTGTCTATTCAATGTTGTTGAAACCGATGTTGTTAAAAGTGATGCACATAGACAACGGCTTTTAACTGTTGTCTATTGTGTGTTGTTGAAATCGCTGTTGTTAAAAGTCACGCCAATAAACTGTTGTCTTTTGTAAAAAAGACAACAGTTTCAACTGTTGTCTATTGTACAAAAGCCAACAGTTTCAAACTGTTGTCTATTGTAAAATAGACAACGGTTTTTAACCGTTATCTTAACGGTTTTTAACCGTTTTTAACCTGCTTAAATTTTAATCATATAAAAAATCAATTTATCCATAAACCATGGCCAAGTGTAGTTACATAATTTTGCACAAGCTAAGGTTCAAAATAACAAGTCTAAATACTTCCATGACCAATTCTAATCGAATCATATATCATCCAAGTCATAATACTACAAAAAACAATTCCACGAACCAAGTCTAAATGATCACAACGTTCTAATGATCAAATCATACCTACTCTAATATCTTCATAGAATATCGGCTCATTCAGAACGCACCAGATCAATAATTGCTTTGTCACCCTCAATCTGCAATAAAAGAGTAGGCATTTATAAAGAGCACAATCCTTAAGTGCTTCTATAAAGAGGAAAATTTAAGAGACTTGAGATTACAATAATTATATCACTTGCTCCCGTTATATCATCCAATCCATACAATATCCTTTCAGTGTCACTTTCCTAAAAGTAACAATGGCACAACAATAAGAGATTAGTAACGTAACACTGTGCCAAAAAACAAAATAAAAAGCAAATGATATTCATAGTTTAGAATCAAAAGCATCAAGAACAATAAATAGAAGAAAATCTTAAAATGAAAAATCTGAATAGTAGTCACCACTTTTTATAATGAAAGAATTAAGAGGGAATTTCCCCAACTCAAAGGTGAAGAGGTTAGCCTTACAGATAAGACACAATAAGGGTTGAATCAATAAATGTGGATAATAATCATAATATGAATAATGTGTGAATGCAGCTAGTGGAGTTTAGAAAATAAACTGTAGCACTATATCAAGCTTTAAAATCAATGTGTTTCTTAGCTAAAGAAATGGTATTGACAAGCACCTGCCAAAATCTTTTTCTTTTGTTTATATCCCGGTATTTGCAGCTTACAATTTCGCCATTCCTTCGATAAGGAAATGCAATAACAATCTGTATCAACAGAACTTTCAGAAAAGTTAGCCTGGGAAACATTGAATTCATCATATCCGTATGAAAAACCAGCTATGGTAAGATGAGGTAATTAGACTATTAGAGCTTACAATATTTCTCTAATATGGGACAAGCCTTTACTAGTTCATTAAGGAGTTTGATCACTTTAAAGATTAAGAGGATGAGGGTGGTTTCACAAAAGAAGAGAAGAACATTTAAAGAAACACAAATTTGCCATACAAAATCAGACTTGCCAGAAGAGCAGCTGTCAAGCAGCCTTGTATATAAAGCCCTTGGTGAAATTTCCAAATGATTAAAATGGTCCAAGAGCCAATGGTGAAAGGTTCAAGAGCCTAATGAATTGCAAAGTATAGCCTAAAATAGGAACACAAAACTGAAAATTAGGTAATTCAAAGGGAAAAGTTTGAGAACTGATGATAAAGTTAAGGATCAATTATAGTTGATCAAAAACATAAATACACAACAATCAACTTTACATAGTGAAGAAATAAGGGTTGGTTGGGAAAAGTATATCTACTAGGTAAACATGTTTTTTAATATGTAAAGTTAAGTGTTGTTTATATGTACTTTAGCAACCATTTTTGCAAGAAATATAATGCTAATGGCTAAAAAAAAAAATTTATTTATTGAACTTATAGGTGCATAATATATTTAAATCTAAAAAGATAATCTAAACATACTTGGAAACGTATATATTTTGTCTCTTTACGTTCCAAGTCCTTGAGAAGAACCTTTTGCTCCTACTTTGGCAAATCTAAGCTTGCCAACTTCTGCTCTAGAAATGAGCGCCTGCAGTTTGTAGAATAGAAAGCATCTGAATACTTCAACAAAGCATCTGACAATTTGTTTGATATTATGGTCCACCTTCTGGGAAAGCTAACTAAATCTAGAAAATACTTCTATCTCAATCCAAGCTAACATATGGGAATGCTGTAACTTCATATCAAAATTATTCATCCACCAGCAATTAAGTGGACATGAGGAAAAATCAAACAGTTCATTTTACAAGGCATATAATGTACAACTGCATCACCACTAAATCATTCAATCAGCTTGTGTCCTGTTTATATTGAATGCAGATTTGGACACCCATTATGAATGTTCATCTTTGCAGTGACAATTTCCATGACAACAACCTCATAGGAGGTATGAGCTCATCCTGTATGGCTGTATATATGAGTGCCTGCTATAGACTACCATTCCAAGACAATGACAAACTTCCCTACAAACACTCATATGACTTGTGTTCAACTCACAGACTCATAAATTTTCAAATGATGCAAGCACAACAAGGATTCAAATACTAATATAATGTAGACTCCCTCACCACAGAATAACATTTAGAGCATTTTATTAGAACTAAAGGTTTACAACTTTTCCAACATTGAACTTGAAACTCAAGTAAAGAAGGAAGGAGAAAGCATTTTTTTAGCTTTAAATCTTTAATCCGAGGCATAATTTCACTAAAGCACAAGAAACGAACGTATCAACAAGACTCCACTATATGCATGATTAAACTAAGTTGAATATCAAGAAAATGCAATTACCTGAACTCACCAGAACTTGATTTGGTGCAGGAGCAGCTCCCATTCGTGTATCCATTTCAACTTTTCCTTAAACATGCAAAGTGTTTCACTAAGTAAGGAAAGCATAATACTGAACTCACCAGAACTTGATTTGGTGCAGGAGCAGCTCCCATTCGTGTATCCATTTCAACTTTTCCTTAAACATGCAAAGTGTTTCACTAAGTAAGGAAAGCATAATACTAGACATGCAATGATTGGTTTGGTAGTGAGAATCCCTCAGAACTTAGCTTGTTTATTTACCTCAGAAATTGAAGTTCTCTTTCAAGTAACACACCATCTCTTTCAAGTTACTCATGTGCATAAGTAAGATTATAGAACTCCTTTGCAAGGTGGATACGGTTCCACAACATAACAATTTCTATACAATCAATGCAGCCTAATTAACATCACATAATAGAAGATCTTTTAACACACATATAATTAAATTTGCTTAAGAAATATGAATTAATCTTGTTCATCATTGCAAAAACAGAAGCAAAACCTTAAAAATTAAAGCAGATTAAAACAATATGAGACTAGCCCAGATTTTATCCAAATGCAAAATTCAAAAGCAAATCAAAGCAACAACAATTCACACAAACAAATCTTTTAAAGAAATTGAGACCTTTTCTTTAACCACAAAGAGTGAAACCTAAATAGCATGCATATAACAGAGCTGTATAGAAGGAAGATTAGACTGGAATGAAAAAAAAAACAGAAAGACAAGCAAGATTAGACTTACAATGAGGCCTGTGCACTTAACAGAGAGCTGTAGAAGGAAGAGCGGCGGCGGCGAGTGTGACTGAGGCTGAGGCTGTGGCTGTCGGCCGTCGTCGTCGGCGAAGGAAGAGCGGCGGCAGGAGGTCTCGGAAATGAGAGGGCGAGATGAAGGGCGGCGGCGAGTGTGGCTGAGGCTGAGGCGGTGGCTGTTGGTTGTCGTCGTCGGCAGAGGGATGGCAGCGAAGAACTCTCCTGATCGGCGAAATGAAATTTTGGAATATTGGGGGTAGAACTCTCTTGATCGAGGAATAAAATGGGGCGAAATGAAAATTTTCTAAGTTTGGGCGGGTAGGGCTAAATTTTGGGTTGATTTTTCGCGCTCTCTAATAAAATAATAATAAATTTTTTGCGGCATCCGGAACGACCCAATTAAACCGGACAATATAGATATAGAACAGGGTAAGAAAATATTAGTTTTATTACCCAGGTCACTAGACCCAATTAAAATAGTACCGGGTATATAGGTACAGAACGCGAGATTCACAGATTTCTATACTGTAGATTCATAAAATCTTTACTCTAGATTCATAATTTCTAAAGCGTAGATTCATAATTTAAATAGGTAGATTCATAATTTCTATGCAATAGATTCATAATTTCTATACTACAGATTCATAATTTCTGTATTGTTGATTCATAATTTCTAAACTGTATAGTTATCAAATTATGAACATATAGTTTTGTGATTTGTAAATACAGAGTTCAACAATTGGGAATATGAACATCGAAAATTATGAACATAAAGTTTTGTAATTGTGAATATATAGTTCAATCATTATGAATATGAATTTCAAAAATTATGAATATATAGTTCGGTAATTATGAACATAGAACAGTGTGCATCATGCATGGTGCACACGGTTGCACAGCATAATTTGTCATTTATTACCCGGAGGTTTATTACCCAGACAGCTGGCGGCCCAATTATATTACAAAGATCGCGACAAAAGAAATGGGATATAGCTCTATGTTCATTATAGGAGCATATGTTCATAATTCCGTAACTGTACATTCATAATTCAATAACTATAAAGTCATAATTTTCGAAGCTCTATATATTCACAATTTTATAGCTCTATGTTCATAATTTTATCACTATATGTTCATAATGTCAGAGCTCTGTGTTCATAATTCCATAATTGTACATTCATAATTCCATATTTGTACATTCATATATAATTCCATAACTGTACATTCATAAAGTCATAACTATACATTCATAATCCCACAAATTAATAACACCGTTAACGGCGAGACAAAATCAAAGTTCCCTGAAAACGACGTCGTACGTTTTGGACTCGTGTTCACAATGCATTGTTCAGCTATTATGAACATAGAACAGTTGCCCAGCATAATTTGCCCTTTAATACCCCGAGGTTTATTACCGACAACTCGCGGCCCAATTATATTACAAAGCTAAGATCATGGCAAAAGAAATGGGATATAGCTAACCAATCGTTATGCTATGGACCCGTGTCCACACTGTAGTGTGGACACGGTAACGGTGCCGTTAGTGGACTTTGATCAATGTACGACATAATTTGTGATAGCTAACTGTACGGCATCGATCAACTACTATTTCATATTCATTTTCCACGTATCTCAATTTTGGGTGCCCAAATTTTTTTTAAAAAATATTATAGATATAATCTATTGTTTTTTATACTTGATATTTTTATTTTTTTTTTGAATTCATAGATTGGTCTTAATTATAATATGAAAATAAAACTTTAATGAATTGACTTTGAAATTTTGGTGAATAATTTTATATTTAAATATGAACAAAAATATAACTATTAAATTAACTTTTGAATTGTATTCTTTATTTGTTAAATTTTTATGCAATATATTTGGACAAAAAAATTTAATTACATTTTTATTCTTGTTAACACTCAGGATATAATAGCTAAAAGATAAGGTGTAACACTTTAGTACACAAGAGTTGGTGTGGTTTGGTGGATTTGGCTTTGTTTGTTATGTTAAAGGTTTTGGGTTCTATCTTTTGTGGTGGCATCCTTAACCTATTTTATACAATCATTGTCTTGGGTCTCAAAGACAACACATAAGAAAATTGGTTATATCAAGTATATATATTAGTTTACTTGAGTACAGAAGTGTTGATTTGGTTTGGTGGGTTTAGCTTAGTTTATTATGTTAGAGGTCTTGGGTTCTATTCTTTCTAAGGGATCCTTTAATTATTTTCTAAAATTGTTGTCTTGGTTTTCACAAACAACACAGAAGCAACCCAGTTATATACTAAATGTTGCACATTCAAACACAAGAGTTTATGTTGCTTAGTTGGTTAAACCTTATTTGTTAAGTTTGAGGTTAAAGGTTTGACTCTTGTTATTAACATCCTTATCTTTGCTTTATACAACTCATTAAATAATGATGTGCAAAAACAACGATTTTTATAACCGTTGTATTTGTAGTGTTGTGTATTCAAATACGCTTAAAGACAACATACCAAAGACAACGGTTAAATAAAACCGTTGTCTTAAACAAATAAAGAACGCGCAACGACAACGGTTTTATATAACCGTTGTCGTTGTAGTGTTGTGTATTCAAGTGCTATTAAAGACAACACATAAATGACAACGGTTAAATAAAACCGTTGTCTTTTATAAAATAATATTGCGCAAAGACAACGATTTTTTATAACTGTTGTCTTTGTAGTGTTGTGTGTTCAAATACGCTTAAAGACAACATACCAAAGACAACGGTTAAATAAAACTATTGTCTTAAACAAATAAAGAACGCGCAACGACAACGGTTATATAAAACTGTTGTCGTTGTAGTGTTGTGTATTCAAGTGCTATTAAAGACAACACATAAATGACAACAGTTAAATAAAACCGTTGTCTTTTAAAAAATAATAATGCGCAAAGACAACGGTTTAAAAAAACCGTTGTCTTTGTAGCGTTGTGTATTCTAGTGCGCTTAAAGACAACACACCAACGACAACGGTTAAATAAAACCGTTGTCTTTGTTAAAAAAAAAGAGCGCACAAAGACAACGGTTTTAAACAACCGTTGTCTTTCTAGTGTTGTGTATTCTAATGCTCTTAAAGACAACACACCAACGACAACGGTTAAAAAAACCGTTGTCTTTTTTAAAAAAAAAACGCACATAGACAACAGTTTTAAAAAACCGTTGTCGTTGTAGTGTTGTCTTTTCACAAAATGCACAAAGACAACACACTTATAACAACGGTTAAGTAAAAACCGTTGTCTTTGACAAAAGTGTTGCATCAAAGACAACGGTTTTGGACCAAACTGTTGTCTTTTATACAAAAGACAACACTTTTCTTAAAAACTGTTGTCTTTCTAGTGTTGTCTATGTGCATTTTTCTTGTAGTGTATAGTTTGTTATGTATGAGTTATGTAGGGTTAAGTGTTCCCCGATGATTCCCTCTTGTTATGTGTTAATGTGTGTTGCATGTTGTTTGGCTTCTATGTTGTTGTGCATGATAACCTAATTGGTTGCGAACAATTGGCTATAATGACTATCTGGTTGGTTGAGAACAACCAGGTATTAACCCGACCGTTGCGATCGGTCGGCTATTCAGGTAGTTGGATTTGTTGAGAACAATCGTCTGTTTTACACACACACACACACACACACACACACACACACACACACACACACACACACACACACACACACACACACACACACACATATATATATATATATATATATATATATATATATATATATATATATATATATATATATATATATATATATATATATATATATATATATATATTGTGATACCCCATATTTTCTGGGCACTGTACGAAGATCGTACGTGCATACGTGACTAAATTATTTAGAGTCTCCTAATCCATATTATTGTAGAAATATTACTCTTTGAGCCTAATAGCTTCCTAATCCGGATATAATATGTAAAGGCGTATACTTTTCCTAATAATGAAGATAGTTTAAATATTTTCCTAAACTCATATTACTAATTACTAATATAATATAATAACTAATCTTGAAATTCTAAAACTAATATGTTTTTATTATATATATTAAATAAACCTAAAGTAATTAGTTATTATTAGCTATGTTACTTCCTAACTTAGTGGCTGGAAACAGATATATATATATATTACTGTAGAGTCCTATTATATACTAATTACTATAATCCTTATCCTAACAATTTCCCTAAACCTAAACCATATCACTTTCATCGTTTCCCATTCCCCTAATATCACCGAACAGAAAAGGGAAAAATATACGTAGCTTTCTTCTTCAATTATCATTGGTCTTCTCCCGCACTCATCATCAGGTTCCACGTAGAGATTAAAGAGCTTTGTTGATTTTAAAATCCAGGTAAGATTTATGTTCACTAAAATCCTTTTACCCCAAATCAGAAATTGATTTTTTTCTAATTGTTTATGTGATTCGTGATTTTGAAAAATTGATGATATTTAGTGTTGTAAGTTATTTGATCATATTATGTGTGTAGATATATGAGTTTAGATGTTTTGAAAT